TACTTTGGTAGAATTTTAGAGAATGCAAATATTACAATACTTACTATTTGGTGTTCAAAATATTACAATTTTAACATTTGGTGTTTTTTTTTTTCAATTTAATTATATTATTTTAAAATTTTCAATTTGATCTCTTATATTTTTAATATTTTAGTTAGTCTCTCACGATTCGGGAAATATTAAAATTGACCACCTGAGATAATATACCTAATGAATTGGTAGAACTTCAGATAATAAAAATATTACAATACTTACTAAATTGGAAGAAATTTAGAGTATACAAATATTATAATACTTTAAGTGAATTGGCGGAAATTTAGAGAAGAAAAAATATCACTTAGTAGAAAATTTGAAATTTCTACTCACTTCTTAGGATTTTGGAGGAGGAAAAAGAAACTTTCCTCTCTAAATTTCTATCGTTTTTTTCAGTACAACATGTGGGGGTAGATGATCGAAGTCACAACCTCTTGATTGAAGATATATATCAATTACTACTGAGTTATATTCACTTTGACTTAAATTTCTACCGATTGGTGAAATTTGTTGACTACTAACGTCTAGTAAATTAGCGATTAGCCTATTTTAACATCCACCAAACAACAAGAGACTAAATTTAAAAACCGTAAAACATAAAATACTAAATTGAGACTTTTTAAACCATAGAGATTAGATTTAAAAAACACTCAAACATGTTGAACTAAAACCTAATTAGTCATAAAAGTATATTTGTGTTTTTTTAGAAGACGTATATTTGTGTTTTTAAAAATTAAATTAAATTATAACAATATATAAAACTAATATTAATTAATTTTTTAAAAAATAATTCAGTTGAATAATATTTCACCCAAATTTATTCACCATAAAAATATTTTAAACGTTAAAAGAAACACCCGTATATTTGCACAAGGTAAAATACTAATTTCTATTAAGGGTTTTTATGAGACCCCCTCACCTAAAATATGAAGTTTTCTTTCATTAGAACCAATATTTTGTATAATATATTAAAGTCAACTCAAACCTAATTTGGTAGATAAAGTACTTAATCTCATCTCAAATATGGATAATTAAATTCTCATCTTGCAATTACTGAACCAAGAGAAAAAAGAGTAGGGTTCTCTTGGGGAGGATGCATTACAGAGAGAAGATATTTTTAGTAACTTTTAAGCATTAAGTTAATTGCAATTCAAATGCAGGTTTATTTTTGTAGATGTTAATGAGTAGAATTGTAACAATCACGAGAAGATATTTATAATTGGCATAACTCGATAGTAATTAATATGCACTCTTTATTTTAAAAAATAAAGGTGGAGGTTCGATTTTTCTCAGATTGTTGTAAAAAAAAAAAGAAAAAAGGATACTAATAATAATTAGAAAAAGATACTTATAATAATTAATGATCCCACTAAATGCTAACACAATTTGACCAACCTTTATTAATTATATAGGATATTTTTCTTTCTCCTCAATCGCTTTAATTAAAACAAGACCAAATAATAAGTTACTCCAGCATATCCCTCTTGTATATTTCCCATGTGGTTAATTGACAACCGTACCTAATTCTTATGACTTTGATTTAATTGCTAAAACCATTTGATACTATTAAATATTAAATATAAATAGGAAGAAAATATTCGAACACAAAACTTTGTGTTCTAATATTATATTAAACAACAGGAACAAAATTACCTGTAAATTCAAAAACTTAAAATTAATAAATTTGATAAATTTAATTTATTTATTGGATATTTTACCACATAGCAATAGAGAGATTTATTTTCATCCAATGATATTCCTTAAGTGTCAAAGTTTGTCGGGACACTTTTGCAACTCCAACACACATCCTACCTCCACTCCACTATATAAGATGGCGGTAAGCTGGACGCCCCATCTCATCTCATAACCAAATTTAGCAGAGAACAAAATAATCTTTGCCTTATTTCTTTCATAGTTTTCTTCAAAATTTCTTCTCTATCAGCCATTAATGTCGGAAACAAGGTCTCCAGCGCTTCACTTTGCCGCCTTGGTTTCTTCTTCCTTCAGCCTCTCCAAAAATTCCGCTGTATTTTTATTGAACCTTTGCCTGTCGTTTTTCGTTTTTCTCTTCTGGTGATTAATTATTAAATGTCATCAAAATGTGACCTTGGTTTTTGCAGGACGATTTAATGGGCAGTGCTCTGAATTCTTGTGACGTGAGGGCTGATCTGGAGCATCTACTACCCATCACTGAAATTGGAGAAGATCCCAGCTTGGAAACTTTGGACTTGGTTGACGCTGCCCAGCGCCTAGGCGTCGACTACCGTTTTCAAACGGAGATAGACCTGATTTTGGAAAGCCACTATGCAATCGCCAATTCTCCTGGTGACGACCTTCACCAAGTTGCTCTTCGCTTTCGACTTCTGCGACAACGTGGTTACTTCGTGTCATCAGGTGTTGCCCCCTCTCATTCGCCTTTATTTTTTTACGGAATTTTATGTTGTCGTGTTTTGTGTGTTTGTTCATTCCTCATGCTTTTCAAGTCTTAAAACTTATTTATTTCATCGTTATATTTTAAAACATTTATAATAAATTATCGTATTTTCAATTTTATATTATAATCTATCTAAATTTAATTCAATTTGTTAAATTCAATGAAAAGAACTAAAAGGTTGGATTTAATGACCGAACCTAACGAGACAACGTTTTAAAAGTTTAAAGCAAATAACTACCGCTGTAGGCAGTTAAAAAAATTACCTTCAAAAGTACCATTTAAAATTTTCTCCCTAATTAATTATTCTTTCTTTTATAAGTGGAAAGAAAACAATAATGTAGAAGTTCGAACACATGACCTCCTACTCTGATATCATGTTGAAGATAAATAAACCATCACTCAACTCAAAAATTTAAATTTGATGAGTTAGATAAATTTAATTAAAAATTCTAATTTCAAGAAAATGAGTAAATCCCTGAGTCAAGTTAATATTATATACAAAAAGTAGTTATTTCTATAATTGTAATATTTAGATGCTTATTGATAAATAGTCGTGATGTTTATAGTTTGATTCGATTCGATTCAATGAACCGCAAAAAATAGCAACCGTGCCAAACCGAACCGTAAATAGAAGGTTCGGTCGGTGCAGTTTGACGGTTTGTGAGGCGGGCAGTAGGGAGAAGGTGCTAACGAACGGTTGTGGCCACGCAATGAAGACTACCAAAGAACAGACGGCGGCTGCTGTGGTGGAGTCGAACTCAGAGGGATGAAACTCATAAACCTTAAAACTAAAAAGAAGACGTAAAAGCCTAAAAAAGGAATGAGAAAATGTTTCAATCTGAAACACAAAGTTTTTAAATAAAAATTAAAAATTAAAAGAAAAAGACGTCAATTAAAACTTAAAATGAAAGTTTTAAAATAAAAGAAAAAAAGTTATCACATCAGTCAATAAAACGAATAATTGAAAACAAGTGGGTGTCACATAAAACACTGCAAAAACCATGCAAAATATGATCCGGTTCGATTTTAAATCTCCAACCCAAATCGAACCGAATATATTCGATTTTAGAACTAAAACAGTCCGAACCGAAAGCCTTTACCGACTAAAGCAAAAAATCTGTTTAGTTCCAATTAACTTCATTGGTTTGATTATAGATGCCTAAGGAGTAGTATCTCCTAGTTGCTTACCATGGTAGATAAGAATTAGAAAAGAATTAGAAGGACACTAATTATAAATAAATATCTAAATATTATTCTTTTTAAATTAGATGCATAAGGTTGATAACTCTATAACTCATCCTACGATAATTTTATTTATTTATTTATTATTATTATTTTTTTTTTTTTGGTACAATTAGATGTGTTCAAAATTTTTATGGACGAGGAGGGAAATTTCAAGCAGGGGCTGGAGCAAGACATCAAGGGGCTAATGAGTTTGTACGAAGCTTCACAATTGTGCATACTCGGAGAAGATATACTCGAGCAAGCTGCAAATTTTAGCGCCCAAATCCTTGAACAATACGTCAAAAACAATCTCAACACTAACCAAGCTCGTGACGTAGCCAAAACTTTGGCAAATCCATTTCACACCAGCTTCTCAAAGTTCATGGTAAAAGATTATTTGGGAACAGAACATCATTCCCAAGCCACAAACAGATGGGCCCACGCTTTTCAACAAGTCGCCAAAATGGATTTCAACGCCGCCCAAAATATGCACCGTCAAGAACTTCTCCAATTTACTCGGTATATAAGTCAATTTCGACGAGAAACATTAATTATGTTTAACGTTGCCAACACTAACAAGAAATTGGTTATGTGCTCGTATTTAGATGGTGGAGAGAGACAGGTCTTGGCAAGGTGATGAAGTTTGCTAGAGACCAACCACTCAAATGGTACGTTTGTTCGTTGGTTTGTCTCATGGGTCCACGTTTCTCGGAGGAAAGAGTTGAACTTTCGAAACCCATTTCTTTCGTTTATCTTATCGATGACATGTTCGACTTATACGGCTCGCTCCATCAACTAACGGTGTTCACAGAGGCAGTTAAAAGGCATGGCCACCCAAAAACTTAAACCAATCTGATTAATTAAGGATAATAATGAGGACTAGTTTATTGAAGAAAGTTTTTTTTTTTTGTTGATGCAGATGGGATGTAGCCACAGCCGAAACATTACCGGAATGTATGAAGATCTGTTTCAAATCACTTTATGAGATGACAAACCAATTGAGTTGTAAGATCCATCAGAAGCATGGTTGGGACCCAATCGACTCCTTGCGAAAATCGGTAATAATCCTATGTTTATGTTTGAAAGATGAAAAATATATATATAAAAAAATCAACTGGACTTTATTGCAAAGCTTATACCCAACATCAATATGTTAAGCTAGCTAGAATGTAGGCAATAGGGGCGGAGTCAGAAGAAGAATTGGCCAATAAATAGAGAAGTGTATATATTATTTCTTCCTCCACACTCTCCCTCCTCTCCTCTTCTACCCTCTCTTCTTGTCTTGGCGAACCACTGCCACCGCCCACAGCCAAAGCCGTCATCGCCATCACTGCCTGCCCCCGAAGCCTCATCCCCATTCTAGATCTCAAAACGTTTAGATTTGGTACTCTTCTCCTTCCTTCCCTTATGCACTCTCTCTCCTTCTCCCTCGTCACATATCGCCATCGTGGCGTTGGAGAAGGGGTCGTGGTGCCAGTTTGTCGGAGAAGGAGAGAGAAAGTATAAGAGAAGGAGGGAGAGTGTTTGAGGAAGAAGAAAGTCACTCCCATTGCCATCTCACAATATTAATAATAAAATATAATATAAAAAATCACAACTCATTCAACAAATAATGGCCACATATCTTTCCGTAGACTAAAAGATAACAATTAGCTTCAACTACCATCATCGACAAAATAGACAAATTAAGAGGTATCAATTATTGGATCTGCTGGACACACAATCACGAAAGTTTTAGAAATTTATTGCACTTTATGAACAAGCTGATGGACTGAAAGATTAAATTTATAATTCATCCTAAAATTCTTAGTTTTCGTTTAATTTCTCCATTTTCTCTAACATTCTTGGAGGGCTTACTGTTTTCTGTAGTGGGCAAAACTTTGCGACGCGTTCCTGTTGGAAGCTGGATGGTTTACCTCTGGAAAATCACCGAGTGCAGAAGAATACTTGAGAAATGGGGTCATCAGTAGTGGAGTTCACGTGGTTTTAGTCCATGTCTTCTTCTTGCTTGGACAAGGAATCAACAAACGAACTGTGCAGCTTTTAGACAGCAACCCAGAAATTATTTCTTCTGCTGCAACAATTTTACGGCTTCAAGATGACTTTGGAAGCGCAAAGGTTTGTACTGAAGTTATATTTGTATGACATATCTCTAGTTCTTTTTAGTTCATCAATTTTGGTCGGATCCTATTTTTAAATTGGAGGTTCATTTTCTATCTTAAACTCTGACAATGAGATGAATAGTCAGGTCTATAAAATTATTAGTATTCTTCATTCAAATTCTCACCATTCAAGCTTTTTTTTTTTTTTTTAACTCAAAAACAGGATGAGAATCAAGATGGATATGATGGATCATATGTGAATTATTACATGACAGACAATCAAGAGGTTTCTATTGAGAGTACTCGAAAACACATTACCAATTTGATTTCATGTGCGTGGAAGACGCTCAACAGAGAGAGTCTATTGCCCAATAATCCATTTCCTCTCGCGTTTGTTGAGGCTTCTCTGAACATTGCCAGATTTGTCCCGGTTTTATATGGTTATGATGAAAATCAAAACCTTCCCACGCTTGAGAAGCTCGTAAAATCCATGTTATATGAGACTGTGCAGATGTAATTTTTAATAAACTGCAAACGTGATATTTAATGTATTTTAGCAGATGTGATGTAGGTTAATCATCAACATAATAATATTCTTTGTTGATGTATTAGTTGTTTGTGTATGCACTATGATTTGCATGACAAATCCTAAGAATGAAGTAGATTCAAGTTCTACTCTGCTTTCAATTTCTGCAGAACTTGTGTTGAGAATTCATAAATATAAATTAAATTTACCCTACCTTTCAACTTAAATTTTTGGGTGAAATGAGTTTATTCTCCCTTAACAACCGCCAATATTAACCTTCACTGTCAAATTAATTCAAACCATAATCTTAGATAAAACCAATTATCCAATTGATTAACTCAATCTCTTTCCTTCGTTAAAAACTCACTCTTTCTCTTTCGAATTAGTGGGTGCCTCAATTTACCAATTTATTCTCTTTCTTCTCATTTTCCCACGTGACTACTTCTCTTTTTCTTTAAACCAATTCCTCTTTCTTTTCTTATTTAATTTTTGTCCACAAGCTTTCTATCTCCTCACTCCAACAACCTCATCAACTATTATCTTCTTCTTTTGTCAAAAAAAAACTATTATCTTCTCCTTCATTCAACCTATCCAAAAAACTTCTCGTGTGATACTCAAAACATTTCCATTTTCCAGCCACTAAATCCTTTCTAAGAAATCTCCAGAAAATTCACAATCCCAAAAAGTTCCTTAATTAATAAAACCCACAAATTAAAATTACTTGGGATTCTATATTTTAAGAATTCTTGGCTTAAATTTCCATAAACGTCTTACCAAATTCCAACTTCTAAATCTTAGCATGGTTTCAAAATTGCACCCCTTCTCCTTTGCTCAACTCAGCTTCTTCTCTTCCCCTCTGTTTTGCTCAACTCATAATCATTTTCACTGATAGATTATCTTACTAACTCATTACGAATTGACCCAAAAATCAAACTGATTCGGATTGAGTAAAAGTGTCAACTGAACCAAACCGAATTTCAGTTTGAATTTTAACCGGAACTAATAGGGTTTCAGTATTTTTCTCTGTGAACGACCAGTATGTGGTTTGGAACTTGGAAGGAAGTGTACTGGATCTAACTCAAAGCATAGTTAATGGATCCGAGAGGAAGAAAATTTAAACTCCCATTTTAGTTTTTTGTTGATAAAATGGGTTAAAGTTGTAGGATATCCAGTTTGAATATTTTTTATTTTCTTCTTTCGCAGACTATGAGTTGGCTATTTTGACATCAAACAAAACTGACCTGGCTTACATTTTGTCATGTAACGCAAGCTCTTGGAGTGCATTGACAACACAAAATAATGATAATCTAGTGGAAAACAAATTAACTGATAACCACACATCACTTCTTTTTTTCTTTTTGATTTAAAAAAAATGCACCAACATTCCTTTTAATTTTGTTTTGTTTTTTTTAACCAGTACGGAAATGTCACTTATCCGTCACTTTAGACATAACCTCTCATAACTTTTATTGGATTTGTAAGAAAGGGCAAAAAAAAAATCTCACATTGACAAGGGAAGAAAGTGGTCTATATGTTACATAGATAAGGACACATCGGCACGAAACTTTTCGAATGAAACCAAACGCAAAGTTATGAGAGCTATTAAGACAGACAATATCATACCATTATAAAGATACTTGAGATACAAGCCCTTACCATCTCTTAAATTTGTACGCTTTCATAGAGCACATATTTCATAAGCTCCTCGAGAGTTGGAAGATTTTGATTCTCATCGTACCCATATAAAAGAGGAACAAATCTGGCAATATTTTGAGAAGCTTGAATAAATGTCCTTGGAAATTGGTTTGGAGAGAGGCTTTCATGGTTCAGTCTCTTCCATGCATCTGAGATCATGTGCTTAACGCGCTGCCGTGTGCTATCCAGACAAATCTCTGGATTTTCTTTCATGTAACATTCTATGTAGGATCCATCATACCCTTCTTGATTCTCATCCTATATCATAAAAGACATCAAACATTTTACTTTCGTGAAACAAGTACTTAACTTGTGAGTAAGTAAAGTGCATCTGGCTCTGGCCAATGATCTAGCCACTGATAGATTATATGTTGCTCTATCTCTGCTAGCTCTAACTAATCTATTTTCTCTCTATTATTTCAAAGGGGAAATGATGTTTTTGGGTTACCTTTGCACTTCCCAAGTCATCACAAAGTCGTAGAATTGTTGCCGTAGAAGATACGATCCCTGGGTTCGAATCCAAAAGAAGCTCAGTTTGCTTGTTTATTCCTTGGCCTAAAAGAAAGAAAATGTGAGCTAAAACTACGTGTACTCCACAACTGAGTGCTCCATTCCTTAAATATTCTTTGGCACTTGGCAAATTCCCAGAAGCAAACCATTCTGCTTCCACTAGAAATGCATCACAAAGGGTAGCCCACTGCAAAAAATTAATCATCAACCCTTTTAATTAATTTTAATTTAAGCACTTCAACATGGCGATCCTTTAAAGTTTGCACTTTAATTAGATGTGGAAATTAACTGATTTAATTACCGATTTCTGTAAGGAATTAATTGGATTCCAACCATGCTTTTGAAAAAACTTGTTGCTTATTTCATTTGTCGTCTCGTAAAGTTTAATGTAGCAAATCTTCATTGAGTGTGGTAAGTTGTCGATGGCAGCCAAGTCCCATCTGCGTCAGTTATTTATGAGACGAATCAAGAGATGTGGTAGTACGAGAAAATTAAACCAAAATATGTAAAGTACTTTTTGTTTCATACCTTTGGATTGCTTTTGTGAATAGTCTAAGTTGTTCAAGTGATCCGTATAGATCATAAATGTCATCAACTAGGTAGATAAAAGAGAGAGATTTTGCAAGATCAACTCTTTCTTCTGAAAAGATGGGATCTGTTAAGAAGGCTAATGAACAGATATACCATTTAAGTGGTTGATCTCGAGCAAATTCTAATTCTTTTGATAAACCCGTCTGCCCCCACCACCTATAATATGCAAATTATCAAAAATTAGAGTGCATTTTTGTAGAGATTGGTAGAGATTGGTGAACCCAAAAGAGCACATCTTGCAAGGTATGTTAAGAATCCGACATTGTAAAGATAAGAGATTTAGATCGTGGCTCTTTTGACTCATCCATCTTGATCAGATTCTATTTTTTGATCGGATGCTCGGACGTTTTGGACTCTAATACCATATTAATAATCATGTGATTTCATCTCAAAATCAATTGACAATAAGAAGAATAACTCATATCTATTATAAATCTTGTTTAGTCTTTTATCTTTTCAAGGTGGAATCCTTAATAAGATCTAAAAATGAGATTTGAAAACACTAAAGTGCCTTAAGTAGTCCTCTAAGAGTTCATAATTTGTAGTTTTTTAAAATTTTTATTTTTAGGAAATAGAATTAAATTCTAATTTTTAGAATTTACCAAACAGAAATTGACTTATATATTTTTTAAATAAGTGAATCCTTAAAACAAGAGACTAAATATGGATAAGATATCAAAAAATACTTACCGAGAGAGTTGAGATATCTCTTGTTGGTGGATGCTTTGGACTCTGTTGAACTCCAACTTTGCCATTTTTTGGAAGACATAAATCCACTTATTTGTGGCTCGGAGGTGATAATCTTCGAATCCAAAGTAGTTTTTGACCAAAAAATTTGCCAAACTTTTATGGAAGGGGTTGGCCAAGGTATTGCTGATCACATGGTTGGCCCAATGATCATCAAGATTCCCAATACTTATCTTCAACATATGGCCACTAAGATTTCCAATTTTCTCTAGTTTGTCTTCTTGAGGCAGGCATAATTGGGAAGCTTCATATAAGGCCGTGAGGCCCTCGATATCTTCCCTAACCTCTTTGCCTAAATGACCCTCTTTATCCATGAAACTTTCAAACACGTCTGCCAAAAAAAAAGAAAAAGAAAATAAAAAAAGGTTTTGTAATTATATGATAAGACTGAGAATGGACACATGATCATTATTGGGGGAGACTATGATGAGTGATTGATCAAGAATTTTATGTCCACAAATACACGTAAATATAATGGAAAAACATCCATTTTTAGCCTAAACTTTGTTACATGTATCAATTTCCAATTATCATGTGGTGGGCTAAATCCGTTCAAAGGAACTACAGTAAACGTATTTGGCAACCAAATGTATAGGAGGGTTGGACATTAGTTTGCTTTTTAATCTATATACTATATATAATTTAACCAAAGTTCAAAGAGGACACGTGTCTTTAGTCACTCTTAAGAATGAATAAACAATCACTTAATCCAAAAGTTTAAGCTAATAGGTTGAGTAAATTTAATTCATAGTACAGGATCTCCCGCTCTAATACCATCTTAGGATGAATAAACCAACCCTAAACCCAAAATCTTAAACTAATGGGTTGGATAAATTTAATTGATATATATGGATTCTCAACGGTTCCTTTCGTGAATCTACCCCAAATCTGAGATATTTTGCTCAAAAGAATAATTGTTGGAAGTGTACAAGCGTAGCTATCTAGATGGTAACATCTCTCTTGGTATAAAAATTTTTCGGTAAAACAAAAAAAACTATGTGTAGACTCAAAATATACATATTCATACTATTATAAAAAAAAAAAATTAAAGGCATGTTAAGAAGTGACTCATCACTTTTGGCATTTTCTAAAATTACTTATATATCTTTATAAAATATTATTATTTCAATGGGAAGTGATTTTGATAATATAACGAAAGATCACTTGCTAAAATAACTTTCTAAATATGGGATGATATTTGACAACAAATAATATATAGGATAATACATGGCTCTTTAACTGTGTCCTTATTATACAATTCATTCTATTTATAAAAAAAAGAATTATTTATTTTTGTATTTATCTCTCTTAATTGTCAAATATTTAAGGATGGTGAAGATACGATTACGATTCCTCCCGACGTATAAACAGCAAAGTATTTTTATAATGTATATATATATGTCGAAATCACTCTCAAACACATCGTAAAATTAAAGTTGAATCACCTGCGGATACGAAGTGACCGTGCTGTCTCAAGAGGCGAAAGCAAAGAGCGACCTCATGAAGACCGCTTCTAGGAGCAAGAGGATGATTTACGATTGTGTATTGGGTTTGTAGAATTGCTTCAATCTCCTCTCGGAAGCAGTGGTCAATCCCAAGGCGCTGTATTGCATCAATCATGTTCAATCTCTCCAAGGGATCAATTTCTGCTGTTTCACTTATCAAATGCCTGAGAGTCTTCATTTCACGTCCATATTCAATGCTCATTTTGTCCTACCAACAAGTCATACAAAAAACACATAAAATAATTAGCACAATTGCAATACGTTTTATTTCGAAAGAGATGAATGTTCAAATCAATTCACAAGGAGAAGAATAGTTCAGATCTATTATAAACTTTTGTTAGTCTTTTGAAAAATGGGGAACAAACAATAATGCAGGGGTACCTTCTGCTCTAATATCAGGTTAATATTCATGAGAATTCATCTCAAGACCAATTGATAATGAGAGAAGTAACGTATGTCTATTATAAACCTAAAGATTCTTTTTCTTTTCAATGTAGACACATCCAGGCATTTTCTTTAAATATTTTTGTTTGTTTCTGGTTGTGTTATTATTGCAAAAATAGCAAATTTCGCTTAAATAATTATAAATCTGCCGCAATAGTAAAATATAAAAGAGGTAAATATAAAAACTAGTTCATTAGCTACTGACCTACTTCTATCAAACATAAAACTATTATTTATGAGCGCACTGCCTGTCCGATAGAGTTAACCATATATCACATTTTGACTACATTTTTACAGCCTCACTATTATATTAGGAACATGATTTTAATACCACTCGTTAAACAGTACAACTGACCTCTTCACATTTCAATAATCTTAAAATATTGTCCATTTTGAATGTAAATTCTAGTCATTTTACTTTTGGTTTTAAAAAAAATCTCCTAATAATCAAAATGTTTAGGATTTTGTGGAACTTTGGATGGTATTCCCAACCCATTCTAAATTCTAAAGACACCCGCAACAAAAACAAAGAAATGAAAGAGACAAAATAAAAAGAGAGGAGAAAGCAAAGTGATAACTGAGGCATACAGTTAAATGGGTGGATTCTGAATCTGCAGGTATAGAAGTTGGAAGGAGGGAATGATTTAGAGGAATGGTCCATTTCTGAAACGGAGGATTGTGATGTGGGCTCGAGACTTTAGCCACTTGAGGGCTAAGTGGTGAACCCTTCTGCATGGAAGCCATTGGAGATGGGTGGAAAGAGGAAGAAGACGAAGAAGAAAATTGAGGTCGAATTTGAACAATCAGCTGTGCTGCTGCTGCCATGGTGGATGAAGAAACACAACTTGAATGGCTCAGATAATTTTAGTACGAAGCAACAGAGGAAAATTGCTGGTTATCGGATGATTGGTCCCAATAAAGCGCTCCAATTTATAATAGTTTTTCGTGATGTGACGTGAGCTATCGTTTTTCCTAGAGTGACCCTCACCATGTGGTTACGTTCAATTCTAGAATATGTTATGAGTTACTGCCGACCAAAGTTTAAAATGTGATGAACAATTATTTAAGTTACTAAATAAAACTTTAATTGTAGTGTCAAACTGAACATAGTTTAATAATTGATATATACTTCCGATTAAAAAATTATGAGTTTAATTTCCATCTCCTCATGTTGTGTTGGAAACATTGATAAGCTCTCACTAAAATTCACTCTAAATCTCACCGACTTTGAAGAGAAAAAATTTGTTCTCTTATGAAACTCAAGAACACACTAGAGAAAATATTATTCTCTTTTCTTTCTTGATTGGAATATTTCAATTTGCTTCTTCTTTCTTTCTTGGTTGCAAATGAGAAAAGTGATGCCTTCATATAACATCTAAGAGACACCTCTAAAAAGATACAAATATATGGACACATGTATACATACTATTTATGTACCTCAATACATTAACTTATCTGAACCTAACAATTTATGTATCTATAAATTCAGGTATGTGTCTAGAAATTGAATTAGCTTAAATTATAACATCCCCTTGAGTTAGACTTCCATATAACTCCAAGCTTCTCCTTCATTTTCAAGAACAAGTATGTCTTCAAAATACTTTTTGTAAATATATCTGCAACTTGATCTTGTGTCTTGCAATGTTTGATGCATACTTTTCCATCTTTGATCAATTCTCTAATGAAATGGTATTTGAAATATGGATTTCCATGATTCCCATGTCGAGGACATCCTACGTTGACATTTTTACCTCTTCATTATTTTTCATATATTTTCTTAATCTTATCAAATTTCTTTAGTTCTATTTGTAATTTAATAGTTTAAATAAATTAACATATTCATTGACTAATAAGCAATTAATTATATTTATGTATGTACATGTAAAGTAAACTTCAATTAAATTATATAATATCTTCATTTACTTTTAATAGTCGGAATGAATTATTATGAATAATATCAATTGTCTTAAACACATAATTTTAAAGCAACATTTTTTTAACCATCAACTTACTTTTGATATTTTTCTTTTTTAACCCTCAACTCACCTTTTGATATTTTTTCTTCTTAAAAGAATATGATTTGATAATATAATAAATGAATTTTACCCCATATAACATTAATTATATAATTGTAACTTTTAAAAATATCAAAGTTGAAAATGAAATTTATATTCAATATTAATTACTTTTTAAAAAGTTTTATATTAATATGAATTGTACCTAATAACATACAAAAATTAATATATATACAAAATTAATATAAAAAAAAACTTAAAATATTAAATTACTTGTAAGAACATCTATCATATAAATGCAAATTATATTAGATTAATGATAAATTATATGAATATTCGGAAGGATATTTTTGGAACATGATATAAATTTAGACATTCCAATAAATCCTGCAAAACAAATGTGACTATTCAAATATTCATATATTTCCTACGAAAGAAACATGGTCATTTGAAGATGTCGGACTTCGTTAAAACTCAATAGTTTTCGTACTTGATTTCCATTTTTCTAATAGTCATCATGTCAAATTCAGGACAGAGTGCAAAAAGGAACATAATTGTGAGAATGAGAATACGATATGGATGAACATGATGAGATGCCTTCAACACAAGGTTGAAAAAAGAGGACGAAATCACTTTACTAGTTTGTCTAATTGCAGTGAAGACAACCCCACTAAGCCAAATGTACGTAATTATTTGTGGTACTATACATATGTCATATAAAAAAAATGGGACAATTTTGAGAGTTATTGTAAAGAAAAAAACAGAAAAAAAACATGAAAAGACAGAATTGGTGGTTTTTGTAGGGGAAATGGAAAAGAACGTGGAAGACAAATTAATCTCATTGTTGCAAAGAAAATGGGGAATAAAGTGGAAGATGCTTTGACAATGAATACTATTTGTCTATTCCTAAGAAGAGTTAATTTACTACTAGTTCCACCGGTCATACTACTATAAATCATTTTTTGCTTTCAAGTCACTAATATGACAGATTATAAAGATCATGTGAATGTGATTTAAAGAGGTGGAAAGTTACTTGTCACAACGTCATACAAAAGATTATGAGAATTTTAATATATCTTAGATCGGTGGAAAATAAATTCTTCTAAATACAAGATTCTTAGCAAGGTTTTGCACAATATTTTTTAGCAATTTCAGTGTCTACTGTAGCTTTTGAGTCTACATTTAATACTAGTGGAAAATTTACTAAACATTCTAATGCTCTTAGTGTTGATCTTCGATCAGGATTTAATTTCTCTCATTGATGAATGTTTGGAACTTCTTGCAAAATTACATATATTTTTTATTTTCTAATTTCTAATTTCTATTTCTAATGTTTATAAATTAACTCTAACAACTTCTTTTTCATTTGTTTAGGTTTCAGAAAATGTATAGAGGAAGCAGCCTACCTCATGGACAAGAATGATTCTACTATATAGTTGACTTAATACTTATAGATTTTATTGAAACTTTATAGTATATTGTGTTGTAACTTGTGAGCCGTGACTTTGCTGATTTTATTGTTGACTTTTAGTCTTTGACTTTCATTTTGTTGCTGATACTTGATAATTGACTTTAATTTATGATTTTTTTAACAATATGTTATTATATCATCATCTATATTTTGTTGTTATTTATTTGATGTGTTGAGTATTTACTGAATTGACTGATGTCAATTTAATTATAGTTCTAAAATATTATTGGAAAAACATTATTATTAGTGTCTCCTAATAGTTTTAAGAAAATCAACCATTGGCTACGGTTAAATTTCATTAGATTTCATTTAATATTAATGTTGAATGTTTTATTTTCACTTTTAAAATACTAAACGAATAAGATAAGGTAGAGAAAAATAAAAACAAAACGGAAAGGATAAAAAAAAAAAAAAAAAGNCTAGACCCGCAACCCGACCTGAACAATCGCTCCAAAGTATCTGCGCACGCACACGGTTTAACAGCCACGCTGAATCGATGAAACCGGTTTAATATAGTTTGTAGCGGTCGGCTCAATTTCCTTAATTCCTTCGTTATTTTTCTTGTTCGATTTGAGTTTGGCCATTGAATCGAGCCGAACGTTTACAACCCTGAATAAAATAATATTTTTATTTATGTTTTGGAAAAAATTGGAAACAGAAAAAAAAAATATTATTTCGTTGTTTTTAAAATTTCTAAACAATTTTGAAAATATTTCTTAAAATTGAGAAATAATAAAAAAAATTAGTTGACAAATATTTATATTTTGCAAAAAGATTAAAATAAAAAACAATAAACAAGAATGTATCAACTTGCCTAAATTTTCGATCAAATACTTTGAGTCTATGTATATCAAATTTCAATTTATTCACTCTTCGGTCCTAAAATTTAGAAGTAATGATATTTTCTTACCTAGAGTTTTGAGATTTTAACTTCCGCTATATACATGTATAATCTTTGAGGTATAATTTGATTTCTATTAGTCTCTCACTTTGAGTTGATTATTAGTTAATTTAAAGGAAAAATAGTAGTTACCATACTTACCTGAATTATTAATTTTATATCAGAGACTAAATAAAAACAAAATCCAAACTTAAGAACTTGGTCGGTTTCAAAACTTCAAAAACTAAATAGAAATCAATTTGGACCAAAACTGTGATTTTCTAGGAAAAAAGAAAATAAAACATGCAGAAATGCTCGTGTGAATCACATTCCAGCACTGCCGACCAACATCTATACCTCAAAATTGGAGTTTCCGCCGACTTTAGGACCATACTCACATGTAATAATACGATGATAGATACTTGTCTATTTTAGATTTTAAGGTTACATAATTTTGTTTTTTAATTGGGTCCACGAAATACTTCATCTCCTTTATGTACTCAAAATTTTTCCAATTTTTACTCTATTCACACTGTCAACCTTTTTTCTTTCCTCTAAATTATTTATCAATATTTACTGGATACCATCTAAACTAAAAGAGTAGCTCACTTATATTATAAACCATTACTTGGTTTCTTATCTTTTCAATGTAAAATCTTTAATATGCTCTCTTAGGATGGTACCTCTTTTTAGGTTTACTAATCTTTGGGTCGATCTCATCTTTTGATCGGATACTCGTTTGAGCTTTGGAACTTTGATACCATACTAATATACATGATTTTCATCTCAAAATCAATTGACTATGAAAGAAGTATCTCATGTCTATTATAAACTTTTGTTAGGTTCCTTATCTTGTGAGATTTAAAAAAATAATAATAATAATTTATTTTAGCACGTTTTTACTTTATCCGACATTGTTTCTTTCGTTTTTTTTTTCCGTCTGATATATTGTTTCCTACCTGTTGTTTTGATCCACCATTAAAATCAAATTTGTAGTAGTACACTTATGGTCGACATCAGGATGATATAACAATACAAACGCACTTATAGTTATAGTAGTGACTATTTTCCTTTCGTTTTCCCTTTTTCTTGTATAGAGCAGTACTTGAAACTTTATTGAAAGTTTTCTTGGATTTCAAAAGACCTCCCTTCTACTTTTTCCTTCTGCTGTTTTATACCATAGCTTATTTTGAATTTAGCATGTATTATTTTTATTATGAGGTAGAAAGGACATGTCACGCATCATAAGATCAACTAATTGGGTCAGGAAACTAACTCTCGGCACCGCCAAGTGCATCGACAATAGGGTCAATCACTCCTAAAGATGATCTCATACAAGATGGACAGCCAGTGGATAGGCCACTGACACCCTATACACAAACTACTAGGTACCACCATGGACCACGACAAGAAAATTGAGTATTTTCAAAGGTCACAACCTTTGAAAACGTATAAAATAAACCTTCGATAAATCATTTTGTGAAGGTTTACTCAACTTTTAAAAAGTGCTAAAATAGGTCACGTCGAAAAAGTTTGTTCAAAGATTTTGTTAACCTTCAAAAATTCATATTTTTCAAAAATTATAAGTCTTAGATAATTGTTAAATTAGTTGTCAATAATAAGTTGGTTTTAGTTACCCTTTCCAAAGGTTTTTATTATTTTTCAAATAATCTTATTTTCRTCCCTTTTTAAACCTTTAAAAAAAATTTATTCACATGTGTAAATCCTTAAAAAAAAAAATCAAGTATAATAATAGCATTTGAAATTAATATTAACTTGAAAAAAAAACTAAATTACTTTTTTTTGGTCGACCACATAGGACGTCGCCAACAGTGGAAGACAGAGGATGTTGGTGGTCCTTGCAAACCCTCGACACGATAGACCTCCCCATGAACGCCCAATGGAGACCTCCTCCTCACACCATCTCCATCTCTATGAAAAGTAATTTAATTTTTCTAAAAAGAATGATTAATATTGATTTCAAATGCTATTGATTTCTACTTGATTTTTTCAAAGAATTTACAAATAACCTTAAAAGAACTTTTTTTAAAGTTTAAAAATGGTTGAAAATAAGATTATGATCTTTAAAAATAATAAACACCTCCGAGAAAGTAATTGAAACCACCCGATTATATAGCTAATCTAAAAATTATCAAAAGACTTGAAGGTTAACTAAACCTTTAAAAAAACTTTTTCGACGGGACCTATTTCGACACTTATTGAACAAAATTCAATCATCTAGACAGGTCGTAGATATTCTTCCTTAAACTACAAATTTCTGTCTGATCCTTCAACTTTAAGATTGGTAAATGAGATCCACTTATATCTCATCAACTTTCAGAATTGATTAGGACCCTAAAACAATAGTTTAATGATTATTGAAATGTTTACCTTTAACCATTCTTTACAAAAATGATTTGATTGAGAATATTTAATAAATTAAAAATAAAATTGATTCTTTGAAAAAAAAAAATAAGGACCAAAGTTAGTGTATTTTGCTCATGAAAATATTTGCAAGCATGGAACTCGTTTCTTGTATCACATTTTTTTGAATTGATCAATTCAAAAAATGCAGATGGAACTTGGATGCTATTGAGACCTTACCTCATAATTCTTACTGGTTTTTTAAAGAGATGTATTAAGAATATATGTGGACCTCATTCAATTTTTGAACTAATAAAAAAATATGTAATATAAATCAATATTTTATTTTCCCTGATGTTAATTTATCAAGAACTTAACTTTTATGGGTTTTCCTTGGAGGGCCAAAAAAATATTCAGAAAATGTGGAGGGGAGGAGTTCAAATCCCATGGTGACCACCTTACTTAGAATTTAATGGATTGACCCGAGCACTCACGTAATAATTCTTGAGCTATACTCGAATTTGCATGTAGAAAAAATCTACTCACTAATGAATGCTTTAAATTATTCTTTAAATTATTGACGATGAAAAGTGTGAATCAATAAAATTATAGGGGAAAAAATCCAAAATACTTACTTTAACTTTCATTTATTTACCGCATGTTAAATGCACATGATGAATGATTAAATAAATTTTTCCAAAATTTGTATGATCAATGATTAAATAAAGTTTTCAAAAATTCACAAATTTTTAACAAAGATTAAATTTGACTATCGTCTTTCCTTTAAATTGTCTTCAATGTCATACTAGACGTTTCTTTAATAATTCATTGACATACATGATTTTGTTTTTCATTTTTACTATTTTTAAACAAAATTCTTGACATATTATATGCAACACATTCAATTTTAAGGTAAAAGTTGCAACATTATTTATCAATACTAAAATCATAAATTTAAAACAAAGTAAAAATCTATAAATCTAAACTTTAATTGTGATTAAGTTGGAAGTTGGGGTTGGATGCTATTCATTCAGTAAGTGCACACTCCCTCCAAAACATTGGAAGTTGGAAACACATTTAATTATTTCCAGTGTCACCCAAAATGTTTGTATAAATGTCTCCAAAAGAATGCAATGGAAAGTGGTCATTTCGAGGATGTTGGATACATAATATTAATTCACTTACACTAATCGCATACTTAAATGGTTAATCTCATATTACTTGGTCCTATGCCTTGTTTTGTGCTGCAATGGCACGAGCTTCTACAATTGTTGAAAATCAAGGCAACCCTTTATTTCCAAAACATAATAAAATCCTTACATATTTCTCCTGGCTATAATAAATTAATGAGAATAATTTGAATTCTTCTATCTCCCTCATATGTCACAACTTACAAATTAATTGATCTAAGGGATGCTTTGTATCAGAACACACATTTTGATCCTTCTCTTCCACTATTATGGCCTTTGGATTGATGGCTTTCAGATCTTCTCTTGCCTGCATTTCCATTAGCGGAGCAGGCAGAAGGAGAGTCTCTTAGAACTTTATTGATCATTGAGTGACAGAACAAGTCTATGGATGTGGAGCTGTATTGCTTGGAAAACAGAGATTTGGCTGCTCTTCTACAATGAAATTTTGGGTTTTGTGCCAAATGCTTCAAAGCTTCAGCTGATAGCTTACTGTAGTTCAGTGCAGAACAGATTCTGATCTTTTCAACTTCACATAATTCTTCATGAACCTGTCAAAAAATTTGGAAGGGGGCTTAGATTGCCTGTGAAATTTTGAACATTTCGTTCAAGTTAATGGAAATTAAATTACCTGGAAGTACATATCAATTGCTAGATAAAGTTTGTCGTGAGATTCTCTTCTTGAATGTGGCAATGCCATGGCTAATGCACAAAACTTGGAGGGCTTAAGATGTGAATCTGGTGCCACTTCCATTAAATAAGAATCCATTAATCTAGCAACTTTCTCAAATTTACAAAGCTGGGAAAGGCAAATTTTAGATTCAGCCTGGAAGAAGAACTTTAAAAGCCTAAGAACCAAATTCACATCATACACATAATCCTTTCCACATGGAGCAGGAACAAGCAAATGGCTCACTGTCAATTGATCCAACTGTGAACCCATCAAAATCTCTAGTTTTAGTTTAGATTTTCTTCTGACCTTCAAGCTCAGAGCTGCATGATATATGCCAAACAAGCCCTCTCCAGAAAACAAGCTCCGGTGATCATGAAAACAGAGCAAATCAATAACACGTTCTGTGATTCTCTTCTGCTCAGCTGGTTCAGAATGGCAAGATCTTGATCTTCTATAGTAGAAAAGAAACCTGCAGATTATCTTGTGGTCAAGATTCCGAGAAACCATCATTTTGGTTAGTTTCTGGATCATGTCAATGTTGAAGAAAACCAAATCTTGAAACCACCAAGTTGTTCGACTGAAACTGTCATGGCTTCTTGTATCATAGGAATAATGAAAACTAGAGCTTGTAGAAGAAGATGTACATGTACTCTCATAGCTAGTAAAACCAAGCCTGCCTATGATGGAATCCAAGAGTTTTTTAACCAAAAATGAATCCTTTCTGATTGGAAGACAAATTTGGCATTGTTTCAAGGCTAGCAGGAGCTCAGACCAGCTCCAAAAGTTCAGTCCTTGGATGGATTTTTTGGTTTCAGCTATTAATTGGGTCTGTGCAGAGTCACCAGGACCTTCCAGCTCCAAGAAAATGGCTGCAGAGTGGAGAAGGACTACATTGGATGGGGTGATTTCAACTCTTCCTCCATTGTAGCAAAACCTTGCAATTTGTTCAAAGCCTTCCGAACCTCCGGGAAAGCCATGTAATACAACTTTCAGACCCCTTGTTACACCTGCAGTTGCTCTTATTAACTTCCTTAGCCTGCCTGAGCAAGAAAGAATGACTCTCTGCAAATTTTAATTGCAAGAGACTGTTGTTAGAAATTATCAGTAAATGTTTGTTGGGTGAAAACAGACCAACGTAAGACAGTGGTAAACGGATGACAGAGGAATAAGAAGAGAACAGATACTTCAACATAGATAAGTACTATAGCTTCAGAGTAATCATGGAGAACTTTTGAGGAAGAAGTTCTTTTACTTTTTTACTTTATTGGAAACAGAAATGGAGGGGAATCACAAAAAACTATTATAATTTATGTACCTTGTCCACCATAAAAGTTGCTTCACCAATGACATCTACTTCAAGATCACAACACACTCCCATTGTTCAAAAGAACATGAAACATAAAAACCCATATGAGCTCATCCAACTTCAGAAGAGTCTGTATTCCGAAAGAGAGAAACGATGGGAATCTTCAAGAGTTGGCATGCAGGACAAGGAAAGTGGAAAGTGGAAAGTGGATAGAAAAATGGTGGGAAGGGTTCTCTTTGAATCTCCTGCTACTACTTACAGAAAAAGTTCAGGGCAGATCAACTTTAAAGTTCTTTTTGGTGCTTCTTACAACATAAACCAAATTTAAATGACCGATTTAAGACAGCCGAGCTTGAACTGAGTGACTAAGATTGGTTCTATAACTTCCATGAAGGTTCTGAGAGAAATGTTGGGTGTGTCAAACACTAGTACCAAAGACAGAGCTTAAAAGTTGGAAGTTCAGAACCCAAGAAGCTGAGGAGAACTGGTAGAAAAGAGCCAATGAGACGTTTCTTAGCAAATGTACATTGACCTAATTAGTTAGTGCGGCCTTTTTCCGGTACTCAAGCCACCAATTTGTGCATGAGTGGTTAGGCCCTTTGAGTGGGTGATGGATCCCACAAGCTTGAAAGTTGAAATTGCCAAGTCCTTTTAGTGGAAGCCAGAATAAAGATGCTGCAAAAGGATGCTTTCAGTTTCTCGGTTGCCATTTTGATAACTACAATATAATGATTGCACTACCATTCGTGCTCATGAGAGCTTGAATACAGAGTCGAAAAGAGTTGGTATTTTTTGGTAGAATTTATGAATTCAAGTATAATAATGATAGTTATTTAACGTAAATGAGAAATTCACCTTTACTTGTTGTTAATAAGAACCGTTGGCTATGACATGGATACGATTATAACAGAGGAAGAAAACTTGTTTTTACGCAAAGTAAATTCATTGTTAACAATCATTTTACAGTAGTGTGAAATAAACATTCTTCAAAAGGGAGAGAGAGAGACGACTAAACTTGGAATGTCTTTGCCATGAAACTCAATGTCAATACAATCATTTTCACCATATAGCAATGCCAAACAACAAACTAAAAGTTTCAACTTCTTTTCGCTTATTGTTTTTGTTCCTTCCCATTTCTCCTTTCTTTTTTCTTTTTCTATTACCCGACTCAGAACGGTTGCTAACTTAATAACCATTAATTTGAGGCCTAGAGGACGGACCCATTAGCCGTGAAAAAGGCATCTGAGGCCGGCCAGGAAGGTTTCTTTGACTGGGAACCCTATCGGCTACGTTCGAATCTGAAACTGATCTAGAGAAGGCTTGAGCCAGCTCAAGTGCTGAAGCAACTTTCCCATATCGCATGCCACCACCATTTGAGGAGGCAGCTTTCGGCTGCTCGGCAGGCTTGCGCCAAGTCTCTGGTGAAGGTGGCCGCTCGACCTGCTGTTGTCTTTCAGTTTCTCCTCTGTTCTTCCTTCGGTTTTCACGTAAATTCCTCCTTTGCATCTCTGGATCTGCCCTGGTATCCTTCCTCTCACCTTCCTTACTAATCCTTCGATCAAAAGGTGGATTCTCCGTTTTCCCAGTCTGATGCACAGGAACAGGGGGTCCTTGAACCCTTTCGGTCCTTGAAAAATTTTCGTCAATCCTTCCAACAACAAAAAATAAAGCAAAAACAGTTATTTTTCATATACGATAACAATGAAGAGCTTTCACTCCTTTTTTTTTTTCCTTTTTTTTTTTTGGTGGAAGGGGGTGGGGTTGCGTGGGAGAGAGAGGGGGCAAAGGGAAGGACAGAGGGGAGAGAAATGAATAATAAATTCAAAGACAGGTTCAATACCTTTCGGAATTTTGGACAAGGTCGTGGTTGTTAATTGTGGTATTTTCAAGCCCTCGTTCCTTCAGAACCTGAGGAAAGGGTAAATCTTATCATTTAACAGGAAGATATGGCAATTAGAATTGGCAAATAAAGAGGGGGGCGTCGGTAAAACTATTTATTTGAAGGCCTACAAAGAACGGGACACTAGACTAGTTTAGTAATTAATTGGACTGCTGTAGTTGAGAAACAAAAGAAGGAAAAATTTAAATCAATAACAGCACCGAACCGTCAGAATGACAAGTAGTTGACACACAAAAACTAGAGTTTTAACTCACCTGTTCCCGAGGGCGAGCACCACCAAACACAGCAATCCTGCATAAGGTACACACATACCTTCTATAAGCAACGTAAGTACCACCAAAAGAATCCCCCAATATTTATTTTAACACAAAACCCAATTTACACCAAAAGTTTGGAAAAGGGGAAGCAGACAATGAACACATAAAAAAGATAAACTATTCCCCTCTAGGCAAGTGCAGGAACATTAAGTGTTCTGGTCCATACCAACAGTTGGATATTACGCGAGCTAGTTTTTCTGGATTGGATAGTTTACATATTTAATATTCAAATGTACCATTCAGAAGTG